TTGCGTCAACGGCGTCTTCGTCGCTTGTTGCTGTTTCACACACGCCCGAGGTGGCAAGACCACCTCTTCTGCACGTCGGCAACCACACCTACCAGCTGCCAGCGCAACTTGATGGTCTGACGCCACATCAACACCAACAGAGGCTGTATCCATCGCAACGGAATGCGCAAGAACGCCATCAACGGAGCCATGTACATGTTGCGTTGCCGTGTCAGTCGGAAACGAATGTGACCGGTTTGAAGGCGTCTCATGGGACCAGCAGTCAGACGGCGATGTCGTGTGACGGCAACAACCTGTTTCCGGCACACAACAACTGGCCGCCTCATACTTGGCCGGCTAGCAACAGCCGCATTCAATGGCCATGGTCGGCCGGTTGCCTGACCGGAGTCCAAGCTCACGAGCTACTCGAGGCCGGAGTTGGGAGTCGGTGGGACTCGGGCTGCTCGATGGAACCAATCAGGTTGTTGGGTAGGTCCCAAGCACATATGCTTGATGTTCTATTCGCTGTTTTCTATATGAATGTGAAGAAAAGAGGAATTTCAAAGAATCCCCTCACAATTTCGTGTGATTCTAGTATGCATTGGGAGAGTAAAGTTGGCTTTAAGGAATCCGTCAAGTGTGTACAGCAAAAAATGAAAGAGGAACTTACTTTGAGATGTGTGAAAAAGTACTCAAAACCGTGAGCTTACGTCTGTCCCAGTGTGGCTAGACGAGGGCAAAACTGCAATCCACCTCGAATGAGAATGGCTTTTGGGAAACAAGACTGTGCGAAATCCAATGAAAAAATGCGGCATAATCACATCGTTGTGGAAGAATTAAACTAACAGTCCTTCATTAACCTGACAAAATTGAATATCATATATATGATCCATTGTAATAGAAAAAATTAAAGTTACATAAATATCAATCTGTCAATATGTTCTTTGACACCCAGTTTCGCTTCATATTATTTAGACTTGTTTTTATGCTCATTTTAACCTAAGCACATTCAGCTCATTGCATAACTTCCAATAAACTTGCTATGCTACTTATTTTTGACTAAGTAGTATTACAACATTTGTGCTACCTCCTTAAATAGGCATGGACGAAATATTAGTAAGATTTATTTTTTCTGGGCTATAGACTGAAAACTCTCTTTGGCTGTCACCAGCATCTTCTTTTTTCCATTCCACCCTTTGACTATTTTACAACCTCCAGGCGCTCTTAATTCATCTCCGACCGCTTCACTTGCAAATGCCGGCAGCGCCCAGTTACGAGTCTGTCATCAGCCTCACATGCCGATGGCGAGACATGTGCATCCCGACTACTTTTCTCATCCGTCGGCATCTAAGAAGCTTGAGACGGTAGTCAGTAGTGCTTATTTGGCGGAGACGAGTAGAAGCGTTGCCGTTACTGCCTCGACCTCCTTGGCCAGGATGGCAGGCTTCGGCCCTCAAGATTTTCTGCCACTTCCAGCTACTTCTGGCATTCCGATGTGCTCAAACCCCGCTTCTTCCGGCCTCCACTCCACTCTACTCTCTTCCCATTTGCCCTCCTCCACATGTTTGATAGGCTCGACTTCGCCGGTTGTCGGGGCTCCAACCCAGTCGTCGTTTCCATCGCCGCATTTCTCCAATTTTGTGCAAGATTTAACCCACGTCTGGCCACAATTGATCGGAGGAGGTCGGG